TTTTATCGATTTCCATATAATGTACTCGATATTTCTCTTATTTATTTAAGTAGCTTAAGTAGGTAGCTACCTATGTTTTTGTAAAAGAAGATACGTTTGTAAGAAAATATGTACCGATGGAAATATTTATTTATTTATTGGAGCTTCGCATGAAGCTGATGATGAGACTCTGTACACCCAGAGTGCACATTAGGTGGACTACAGATAGATATGTAATTTGTAATTTCAAACTTGTAGGTAATTATAAATATGTAATTTCCACAGATAAAATATAGCCGCCATTTTTCCGATCGGTATGTGGTCTATTCTCTATTGCGCATTATGTGTGGGCGGTTGACCTGTGACTCGACGATGTAAGCTCTTCACATCTACTCCACTACTCCAAGGTAAAGTATTCTTTATTATGCATTTCTAAATAATATTTGTCGATAAAAATGTTTGGGAACTTAGCCGGTATAGTTAAAGTTTAAATTATTGGCACCTGCATAGATGTGAAGTTTTTACTGTGATAGTAATATTGGTAAAACACTGAAATTATATTTATTAGGTACCTACTGGGAATAATTAAGACTTACTTTAAACTTTCTTAGCAATTTTTTATTGCTATAAATTTCCTTTTTTATTCAAATTAAGTACGTGATTATCTTATGTTGTCGCTAAAGCTTTTTCTCGATAGGTATCTTTTTGACTTTAATCTATTATTATCTCGTCCCTATGTACCTAGGACTCAGGTAGGTACTCGATTGAAGAGCTTTTCGACCAAACATTAAATTTCTATAACCATTTAATTACTGTGTAGGTTAATCAGTGACCCAGGTCACTTGCTGTCGGAGAAGGCTCAACATCTTAATTAGTATTACACGATTAGTAACATGTAAGTAATTACACAGTCAACCTATTGCTATCTTTATGTTAACCCATGGCCTGTTTCTGTTAAATGTCATACACTTACTACACGTTGACTGCCTCGTTGGCCGAGCGGTCTTGGGTTCGATTCCCGGGTCGGGCAAATTATTACTGGGTTTTTTATAAATGTTCAGTAGCAGCACGGGAGTCTGGAATTGTGCCCGGTATATGGCAAAAGGCTCACCCCCTATTACATGGGACTCATAACATAAATAGTGAGAAGTGGGGGTTACATTGTACAGTGGCATAACGTACACCTCTGCCTACGCCTTCGGGGATAAAAGGCGTGATGTTATGTTATGTACTTATTACTCTTTAACTGGTACAGCCACAGTACCTGCTAATCTACTACTAATCTAATATACTTAACTCGTCGAGTACCGGTTTTGTAGACACAATTATAGAACAATAGGTTGCGGTCACCGGTGACCGCTTGGTGTTTGACAGTTTAATAGTAAAGCTGACGTGTTTGTTTGTTTCAACGCGCTAATCTCCGGAACCACTGTTCCGATCTGAATAAGTCTTTTTCTATTAGATAGTGGGTGTATCGAGGAAAGCTGTAGACTATAGAACACACTACGGTCAAAAGGAGCCGAGCAAAGCGGGTGAAGCGCGGACGTAGCTAGTAATAGTATTACATAGTAAGCCAGCCCCAGAAGCGAATTAAACCTAAAGAGAACTTTAAGCAAGAACCTCATAGACGCCTCTTATACTTTTTGGCGTCCAGTACCATGGCTGGTTTGCCTTACAGATAACACGGTGTTGGCCAGCTCTGTGACCACCGGTAGAGTAGAATACAACTGTCACGAACCCTATTCCTTCCTTGGGTACGTATCGCAAGAACCAAGAAACGGCAGCTGCACTCTCTGGGAAAGGTGAATCGTAACTGTGGTCTCTACCATCGCCAGTACTTATATTAATCTATGACCATCGCCTATCAAGTATGGAGATTATAGTATTATGTAGAACGGGCCCATTGTCCAGCAGCGGTCGGTGAGGGGCGGTTGATGCGTATACATATGTATTTATCTCATTGCAACTGTAATAATGTCAACCAAACATTATCATTACTAAATAATTACTCATCAGATAGTCAAATTCAGCCGCATTTCAGTAGCCGCAACGTTTTACGAAAACCACTCTTACCACTCTTTATCATCCGATAAAGATGCAATTAGATTACAGTCTTACTATCCGATTTACTCGGTAACCTACCATATTACTGAATATAGGTATGTAGCATGTTAATTGAAAGACATTAGGTTTATAAATGCGTCACTGTCTTAGTGCTTATCTTCATTAGAGCTAACACCTTTATCGTGATAACTGGGGGTGTGGGCGAAATTATTAAGTGGAGATCGGAGTGTGAGAAATTCCTGCTAAGAGATATAGGTGATGTATTAGCAGTATTAGCTTACTTTTATGTTGTTACTTGTGCTGTTGAAAAACAGGGAACATTTGAATTCTACAATTTGTGTAAACATATTCATAATGTCGTGGTGGCTCGGAGGTTTAAGACGCCCGCTTCTGCTGCAAGAGAGTGCGGGTTCGAAACCAACCAATAGCAAGTGCCAATGTGACTCTCTAAGATTATCTAGATACCACTGACAAACGGTGACGGAAAACATCGTGAGGAAACCTCGGCTTATAATTTCTAATTATAAATTTGTAGTCGTCAACCCGCATGGACGCGATAAGAAGCCTTTGGTCGGCAGTGGCCACGTATAGGCTGTTGATGATGATGATGATGATGATTAGTAAGACAAAAAATAGTAAGCAGATAGCTCTTACGAGTTAATAAGACAATTAAACACAAGTCCTATTTATAGAACAACAATCAGGATAGGATTTAAACTTTTAAAAATAAAGTAATGGCGATAATTAAAGGCGGTCTATTACGTTGGATACACCATACGAGTATCAGTAGGGTAGTACTTAACCCAACATTGCTATAGTTGTTGACCATATCATATAATCTTCTATTCCATCTTCTTTTAAATTGTGTACTGCAATTTGAGACATCTTTCTTACGTAGGCAGAAAACAGACCACGCATACACCTTATTTAATCCTCCTAATTATCATTATTTCTCAGAACATACCTAATCAACATGTATTGGACTGTATTTAAGTAAATATTGTAAAACATTGATTTAGACTTCAAAATTCTTGTAGTTTTAGAGGAAGCCGTATGACCTTTCCTAGGATCATTAGATAAT